TGTGTGTGTGTGTGTGTGTGTGTGTGTGTGTGTGTGTGTGTGTGTGTATGCAAGTACCTATGAAGGCCAGAGGGTGTCAGATCCCCTGTAACTGGAAGTTATAGGTGTTGGGGGTTGGTCTGGTGCACTGTGTGTTCAGATGCTTTCCGTGCCCCAGAGCTGGTTACAGTGCAGTCCAGGCATGGCATTGTCATTTCTATGAAGAATTTCTTTTATCAATGTTGTATAAACACTACTCCCCAATTATCTCTGATTGGTTAATAAAGAAGCTGAGCAGCCTAGGACTGGGCAGAGGAGATAAGAAGGTGAGACTTCTGTTCCAGTGAGGGGTCTCATGTAGAACAGTGAGGCAGACAGAAGAAACGGACGTGACCATGGGGAGATGGAGATGAGGACTGACCTGGTGGGAGCAAAAGCAGCACAGGCAAGACCAACTTGGCAAGTAACTTGGGGCAGAAGGCTAGAAAACAGCAAGACTAACAGAGCATTAGGATGGATGGATGCCTGCCCAGCTGTAGAGTTTTAAAGCTTATTGAATAAATGGAATAGGTCTCATTACTTGGGAGCTAAAGCAGGTGACTAGAAAAAGCCCCCAAATTCTAACTTATCTTTACATGTAGGTGTTTGCAAGGCACCTGATTTGGTGCTGGGAACCAAAGCCAGGTCCTTGGTAAAAACATTAAGCACTCTTAACTGATGGGCCATCAGCTAAGATGGTTCTCCCAGCCTCACAGTGATCCACCTGTGTCTGCCTCCCAAGTGCTGTGTTAAAGGTGTGTTGACACCATGCTCACCTCAAAAAACACATTTTAAGGTCAATTTTATTGCCACATACACATTAAGCCCACCTTCAGGGCTGGGACACAGCTCAACGAAGGGCACGTGCACAGTGTGCCTGAAGTACCAGATTTGATCCCCAGCACCACCAAATCCCAAATAAAACTACAGAAACATAAAGCTTTGTCTTTTAAAACATATATGGGTGTAAATGGGTGTTTTCTCTGTATGTATATCTGTGTACAACGTGTGCCTGGTGTCCTTGGAGGCTAGACGGTGGTGTTTAAGTCCCTAGAACCAAAGTTAAAGACAGTGGTGAGTAGAACCCAGGTCCTCTGGAGGAGCAGCCAGTGCTCTTACCTGCTGAGCCATCCCTCCCTCCATCCTGTAATGTTTAACTGGAAGTCCCTGTGTGAGACATACAGCAGAAACACTTGAAGAAAAAGCTGCTGAAGTTCAATTCTGTTCCCCAATTATAAACCAGTGATACCCAAGTCAACAGACATGCAACAGCCAAGCAAAGAAACTAGGAACCCCACCCCCTGCTGACCCATGCCTCCAGATTCCCAAAGACTGAGCAGACACATTGTGAAAATCTTTTTATTACTGTCTCTTGTGGTAAAATAACATCTTATACAAATAAAATCACCTGGTTTGTTTTGGAATGAGAATCTTGGGTGAAGTGGGAAGGACAGAGATGCTTCATATAGTCTGTGAAAAATAAATTTACAAGGAAAATACTTTCACAACTTCAGTGACAACACATGATTCTTTATGAAACAAGGGGTGAGCCCACCTCTGCCAGAATCCCTGTGGCTATCATGCTCTGGACATGAAGTATGGACATTCTGAGAATCTGAGTCTCTGGTCCATCCCAGACACCACAAAGCGCTGTCCCTAGGAACCGAAAATCAGATTCCCAGGGCCTGGTGAAGCTGCAGAAGGTGTGTGCAAGACAGCACTGAGCTAACGTGAGACAACAGGCGATCTCAGCCTAGACACTGGCCATCTTGACTCCTATGATTGTGGTTTTGAAGGGCAGCTTGGTCCCAAGGCAGAGGACAGAGATGAAGTTCAAGCAGATCTGTCTTGTACCAGGAAGGGTTCTTTCTGCCCAGCTGCTGGGGGCAGGTCCCCCTGGGAGCTGCCATCTGTTCAGATCCCTGCTTTTGGTTTGAGGCATGGCTCCTACACCGGAGCACTGACTTCCTCTTCCACTGTGTCACAGGAAGCCACTGTGCATGGCTGGTACTCCAGGCAGTTTGACTTCCAACTCGGCCTCTGCTTCTTCGGTTACTTTCAAAGTATGACTTCCAGTTTACCCAAGTCAGGTACAAAAATCGGAATTTCAAACTCCTTACAGCAAACAGCAAGATGCTTCCCTAAGCAGCCAGACTCGGACTACTGGCCCTTCAGCAGCAGCAGCAGCAGACCGCCCCATCCAACCAACACGACAGCGCATGCGGCTCAGAGTGGTCTTCAACGAGACCACGCTGGCTGGAAAGGGGATGTAGCCCTTCTCAAGGCAGTGTGCCCTGCTCCTCCATCCTCTGGGGCTCTCCAAGCAAAAGCCAGCACTGCAGGCAGAAAACAGCGAGCCAGAACTCAGCAGCAGCCCATTGCGGGCCGCACTGAGCAGAGACCACACGGCGCCAGGAAGCACATCCTGGGTAGTAGCTACTTCAAATCTGGGAACCAGAGACTCTCATCAGACTCTAACAGGGCAAGAAGCACTCTGAAGCTTGTCAGGGACACGCAGGTTCCAGCAGAGGAGCCACGTGAGGAGCTGCCGTGTGGCTGAGGAGGGAGCAATGGACCACAGCTCCCCTGCAGCATGTGGGCGGAGCCACACTTAAGGCACCTAGATTTGGAGTGGACTCCAGTTC